TCCAGCGACGGATTAGACAGGATGTTTGTATTTCTTATTGAGCGAGCATAGATATATCTTAGATATGGCAAGATAACAATTTATCGCTGTCAATACTTTCATTGTTAAAGAAGGATATTTTTTCATATTTTAAGCTAGCAATTTGTACAAAACATATTTGAAGCTAAAGCACAATTGTTTATTAAAATTTATATGCAATATTTATGGAACGAAAAAACCGTGAATGAAGTTTATTTTATATTATCATTTTTATAAGCATCAGCTATTTGCTCGCGTACCATTACACCTGTTAAGTAAATACTAATGTAGCACTAGATGTTTAAAGTACCTTAGTAAAAGTCAAATAAAATATTTAACAGAATAACTCAAATGCTTGCTTAATTTAGTTCTAGCTACTTGACGACAGATGGCGCTTTACATTTTTTTTAAAAGTCATAATGGGATGTAAAGGATACTTGACAGTATATGAATAGTATAATAATAATTCTAAATGATGCCTCTGTAACGGAAAAGTATTTTAATATTACAATTTATCAACTGTAAAAGTACAAGTCAATTATTAAGCGAGTCATTTGAGTCCAAATCAAAAGTAGTCAAAGCTTTAAAAGTTTCACAATAACAAGCTTAGTAACTGGTCATTCGAGAGCTTTCCTTGTGAGACATGAATTTGGAGATTAATTTGCCGGTGAACGCAGTTACCAGCTAACTAGAAACTAGTTAGAAATCATTGCAGATTGGATTGTGGAGTATAGTCACAGGTGTATCATGACTATAATTGCGATTACATTTGTCCCATTTTGTTGCAAGTCAAAGTGATTTTTGATTGTCCTATTAAAGAACAACGTTATTTTTAGTGGGACAAAATAATTTTCAGTACATAGCGGTTATCCTCAGCTGCAGCGTGCTTTAGCCATTTAAAAAGATGTATGCAAACTTGTTTGTTTTCTAATTTTAAAGTTATTATAAATTGTATAATAATGTACCATTTACAGTATTAGAAAAGTGGCACAACTGTGGTAGAGCCAAACAACGGTCTCCGTTGTTGTAAGAATGGGCAGGTCCTCACAGAAGACTGCCGTGAACTGGAAGTGTATGCTTCTGCTTCTGTGTATCGTCGCCTGCTTTATTAAATGATGGTAACATACACTATTACCATCATTTAATAAAGCATTTGTAACATTTGTAACTTATCTTTACATAATTGTAACATACAAGAAGACTGTCGCGCACAACAGTCTTCGCTACCAACGATTTCTATTATTCTATTTTGATTAACTTTATTGCACAAACGCTAATACATACAGGTAAAGAAATCTCTTTTAATGTCTGTCCTATCTGAATCTAAGGTGGATTTGATTAACGATACACAAGTTTCTTTTAATATAAATATATTACACATATTTATCATGGGCGTTTTTCAAAAAGCCTCTAAATTCCCTAATACTCAGGCAAATCAGAGTTGATAAACGAGCACGTGGTTTATTAATATTACAAGGTACATTTTAATTGGCTTTCATTGATAACCACAAAACTGCTACATTGGAGTTGCATAGCCAACATCCAAAGGGTTTTGCCCGCTTACCTTATTCATCCGACAAAATGCAAAAGTACATTTCCCTAGACGAAATAGTCCATTCATGTGACGGATGAAGATGCAGCGTGAATATAACAAAGCGAAACAAGAATTACAATAGATGTGGCGCAATGAACTCTGGTTTTCATTATTTGACTTTTTATTTGCAGTTTTAACGAGTCACCGTAGAAATAAACAGTGTAGTTTCAAATAATATAATTGCTCAGGTAAGTTATAGAAATTGTGTTGAATAGTGTGCAATGGTTATTTCATGCATACTAATAATTTATGAAAGATGTAGCATCATCGTTGTTAAAAAAGTGTAATTTTGTAAATATTCAAAAATATAAGTTACAATTAATCTATTCAAAGTAACTTTAAGTTTTGCAATTAAGTGTTTCAGTCTGTCAATGTGTTCGAAGTTTCAATAAGATTCCTAATAAAGCGCTTATTGAGTGATTAAAAATATTCAATCTAAAATATTTGTTTCTTTTTTCTGAAGTAAATATTTTGAAAAAAAAAAAAAAAAAATGAAATAAAATAAATTCATAAGAGCCACATACAAGGCGTGATGAATGAAAGCCAGTGACGATGATTAAAAACGACGTAAAAGGCTAAATTTCATAGGCTTGCATTACAGAGCTTTAAAATTGTAAAAGTATGCCAAAGCGTAATGGCTGACTAGTTTAATAGGCATCTATTAAAAATGAAGACTTTTTGGGTAAGGTAAAGTATAAATTTAATTATAGTTCTGTCTATTGTACACTGACAAGTTGAAGAAACAGCCACAAAAATTCTCGCTTTATTATGTATTAATGCTTATGGATTTATTTATACATATATTTATTTACGTACATTTTCTTTATTTATGCTTAAGGTTTTCCTGTTAAAACTCATGTTTGTGTGTTATGTAAATTTGTTAAAAAACCGGGAATTCAGCGCAATTGGACTTTTTAATGTTTTAAATAATAGAGGCAAGATGCATGAAACTGCGTACTTTAACATTAATAGCTGCTTAATGATACCTGTGGGAAAATTCGGCGGCAGATTCTTAAACAGGCAATTCATTTATTTTAATTTCATTCATTGTGACAGCTTAATAAGTCTCAGAACACCGATTCGCTTATGAGAATATTGTATACTAAAAATATTCGCATCATAAAAATTATGATTTATTTTGAAATAAATCTAAAAGAAAAAAAAAATATAGAAAAAATCATAAAAAAATTTAAGAGCAATTCAATCCTCTGTCTATACTTCTAAAATCCACTAAAACGAAATATTTTAATAACTTCTTTCTTTATACGGTCCCTACGCATTTTATGGCAATGTATTCATAGCGAATCTTTAATGAAATAGGATTATATAAGCTAAAATAAACTTACTAAATTTCTAATTAAAAACATTTCCTATAGAGTTAAAAACTGATCCAAACTTTCGTAAGCTACAGCTGAATACAGTCAGTTATTTAATAATTAAATTAAATAAATGAAATAATTAACTTTACTTACACATATTGAAATCCATTATTTCATAAACTTTTGCTTAGCCTTCCTTTACAACACATAACACAATAAATTCCAAGTCTATGTAGGTTTCTAAATATTTTGGAGTCAAAATAATTTTTATTTGGTTAAATATTTAACACAACCTTCATTGTTGAATTCCTTTCAAATTTCTATATAAATTATATAATTCCGGTACGATGCCACCTACATTACATGCTTACGGAAAAATATCTCACTCGTCCAAAAAATATTGAAAACGATTGAACACTCATAGATGCGAAACAGGACCGTGTACTGGCCGTCTTCGCAACAGACTGTAGGGGAGAAAGTCCGTTTCCATAACGCATGCGTAGTAATACAAATTCACCACTTGTGATATTATCTTGTGAAATGGTTTCGCGTACGTTACTCATATTCCTTGGATTTTTAAAAAAAAGTGTCTTTTAATTTATTTATCTTATTACAACAAAATATATTTTTAGTGTTTGAAATTCCTTACAAGCCAAACTTAGTTTTGGTGATGTTTAGACCTTTTTGCATTTCCTTCAACAAATGCTTGCATAAAAAAGATTATTAAATAGTGTTGTTCTACATTTATTGACAAGACAGATTTAGATTTAATTAGAGAGAACTGTCTCCTTTAACCGATATTAAGGGTAGTTGGTTACCTTCCCGCCTAAAAGTTGTTTACGATTCTGACCTGGCCTCGCTTTGCTCAGCTGTTACGTACCTAATTTTCAGTGGTTGTCAAGTAACAAGAAAATATAACTCGTCCGAACGTAATTTTCACTGGACCTTATTGTGGATAAAGTTAATTAGATTGAAGTTATATCGTTTATTATTTGGCCAAGTATTCAACTAATGACTTAAGGAAGGTAATGTACTTTGAGCGTATTTATGTAGGTATATAATTATGTATGTATGTCTTTGGCATGTTCCAAAACTTAAACATTTTTATGGATTTTAACATACGAGGCGTCATTAAATTTATCGCAGTTGTGGGAGTGAAATAGTTTATGTAATTTCAATATGATGTCGTTGAATTTTTTTCTAATAACTTATTCTTACAATATACATTACTTTAATTAGATAAATTCAGTTTAAAAATAAACAACTTGTTTTAGTTGTTAATCTTTACAGTGGATTTTAATATTAATAAGACATGAAAATTTGAATCGAAAATCATGTCAACTATTCAAAATCCGTTTGGAAAAATCAACTTTTTTATATTTTTGTTTTTCAGTGCATTTTTTAAAAGAAGTGAAGACACTATTTTGCGCCAATATTTAAAAATAAACAACTAGTTGTTAATCTTTACAGTGGATTTTAATATTAATAAGACATGAAAATTTGAATCGAAAATCATGTCAACTATTCAAAATCCGTTTGGAAAAATCAACTTTTTTATATTTTTGTTTTTCAGTGCATTTTTTAAAAGAAGTGAAGACACTATTTTGCGCCAATATTTATCACGCCGTGACTTCAAATTTATGTCTTGCTTTATATTAGCTGTTTTGTTAACTTGAATAATATTTTTTACGATTAATTTTGTATTATGAGTGCAAAATTAAAATTTGTGCAAAATTAAAATTTTAAATTGCAAATTTTCGTAGATAAGGAACAAAAACTTGAAGGGCGTTGTTTATTACAGATGCGTTGAACCTTTAAAAAATTGGGTGCTTCCACTTCCCCCACTTCCCAATGATAATTCCCTGGATGAGCCTGCCTATTCGTGAAACAGCATATAGCGTTATTGATTTTAAGTATGATTTTAAGTTGATTTTAAGTATCCTCAAAAAATAATGTACTCCATTATGTTTTATATCATAATTATAATGTTTCTAACAAAGAATGAGAAATTTTAACACCACGCTAAAATGTGTATTAGCACATTTTTGAGTTATTATTTATGTACGTTATATTTGTTTAGTAGAATTTGGAAGGTGAGGTAGACATAGTTCCAGTTTAAAGCTTCGCAACTCCGCTGCAGTCGGCATCTCATATCGCGAAGGAGCTTTGCACATTTTACCCGTTAGAATGTGACTGATTTTAAGCATTGCCTACAAATAACAAATGTAATATATTAGTTAAATAAATTAATTGTATCGTCAATATTTTCAGCTACTACCGATGTTGTATAATTAACTTCTTTTTTAATATTTCTGGACACATTTTTACACAACGTTATCTAGTCCCAACTAAACTAATCTTGCACTATGGGTACTAGGTATCGGAGCAATCGATATCTATCATTGGTATAATTACAATTTTTGTTGGATCATCACCGTCATCATTTAAGCCTGAGTCCACTGCTTAACATAGGCCTCCTCCACAGACTGACAGGGATCACGATCGTGAGCCACCTGCATCCATCGACTTCCCGCACACTTGCACAGGTGGATCGTCTACACTTGCACTATTGGAGGGTAGTCCTACACTGAGATGGCCAGTACAAAGCTGCCACTCGAAAACCTTTCTTCCCCAACGGTTATCGATTCTACAAGCTATATGGCCGCCCAAAGCCACTTCAGCTTACTAATCCTCTAGAGCTGTGTGGGTTATCTTTGTTCTACTGCGGATGTCTTTTGAAGGATAAAAACTGCAATTTCCTCTATGCAGATCTCCAACTAAAACTACGATAGACTATTTCGAAATTAATTAAAATTTTTATAATCACACGAAAATTCAAAAGCATAAAATCTTAAACTGTGTTAAAACAGTTGTACTGTATTAAATTAGCCTTTCTATGGGTACTTACTGTTTTAGCTGGTAATGGTAATGCCGGCCTGACATAGACTGAGGGACAAGCCAATAAAGTAGACAGAGGAATACGCATTATTAAGGAATCAAACGGCGTCTCTGACGTTGATAATTCTGGAATGAAAGGCATTTCTATTAATCTCCAGCTAAAGCCCCTTTGAGCCTTGATAGCTCAGTGTCCGGGCGCTCGCCTTTATTTCAATATACTCGAGCAACCTGAGTTCGATCCCCGGTGCTGGCACCAATGAACTTTTTAAATTTAAGTGCTGTCTTATCACGTGTTCCGCGGTGAAGGACAACATCGTGAGGAAACTTGCATATTTTCGAAATAATAACAAAAAAATATATATATTTCGAAGATATGTGAAGTTCGCCAATCCGCAGTGGGGCCGCGTGGTAGACTATGTATTGATACCCTCTGTATTGAGGAGACCTTTGCCCAGCAGTGGGACATGTATAGGCTGTTACTTTACTTCTTTACTTTTCTAAAAAGCTCCTTTATACTTTAACAAAATATGAAGCTATGCAAACATATGGAACAAGGAATATTTAGAATTAGTATATGAAAGGAATAAGCACGATCTTTGTTAAAAATCTTCAACTGCTTCATTTACATTTCAAAACACGTCATTTTGATGTAATTGAAGTTTTTATAGGTTGAAAATGTAAAATAAGCAGTAGTAGGCACGTGCCTTAGGTGCCTCAAAGATGGATGTAAACGTAAAATATTTTTGAACTATACACTTTTTATCGTAGTTACCTGAATAAATTCTTTCTAAATATGTATCTGAACTGGAGAAAACACATTCTATGCCCGAATAAAAGCTTTCAACTGTTTCCCAAACTTTAATGATGTCCTTGTTTTTTTCACCTTCTACAAAAATTAACAGCGAATCACCCGTATCCAAAGAAAAGCCTGTTAAAATATTTTCGTTGTTCGTTGAAATCGAAGCCTTTTTATTTATTTCCATAATTTTCTTTAAAATACTGTACGGTGTATGCCCCTTGACACAAAAACAAAAAAGGCGGGCAAAACAGTTTCTTGTTATATGGATTTCACACCCTAGTAATCCAATGGTTGCATCTAGTGACATGTGTGTCGATAGTACAATATACGGTGAAAAGGTTGTCTTTTGCTTCTTCTTTGGTACAATAGCGTTGACATTATTAGTACAATCATATTTTAAATTAGAAAATGATGTACGTGGTGGGAAAAATGCGAATTCTCTGGAAGTCATTTTGTTCGGTTGTTGAAAAATTTGTTGAACATCAATTCGAGTACCAGCTATAAGAATATCTTCTTCCTTAGTATCTTTCGTTGGAAATGTGTTCATAGACCTACAACTGCAGCCTTCCTTGAACAACTTGTTCCTTAATTTTTTTTCTTCTCTTATTCCACGTAACTGAAAAATATTTAAGATTATGTGCAGTTGAAATTACTATTTATTCACAATACCAATATAATAACTTATATAAGCAATAAAATCGAATGCAATAATGTTTTTAATTTAATTACGCTCAGAATATTCCACGAAAATTGTAAAATGGAATGTTCGAGTACATTTAATTGAAAAACGTATATCATTAAATAAAATAATACCTGTATTTCAAAGCAGTTTTCCATGAAAACATTAAATATTTCACGCACTATAGATCTTTCAATTGGAATAACGTAGTGCTCATCAAAATTTATTTCAGTTTGTGTTTTCAATTTTTTCACCTGAGAATTGTATTCCTTGGATCCCATATAACAACGTGTATAAATTTGTGAAAACCTAATTAATTAATATAATGCACCTATATTTTTTTGAATAAATCTTTTTAATGTGAAAAGGCGGCAAACGAGCAGGTGGTGGTTAAATTTATGTTGAATCATTGCCTCCACCTATAGACATCTACAACATCTAAGGAGTTGCAATTCACGCCTGTCTTCTGCGACTCCGTGATACTTTCCCAGAAGAGGCTGCCCATTCATACAACAGCAGAACCAGCTACGTGGTCCTAGCTCAGTAAACAAGAAAGTAAATAACATACAATTTACTAAACACAATTTATCACACAATTTAAGAAAACTACTTTTTTAAATAAAAAAATCACCCGGCTTTATAAAATTCCTCCGTCGGTATTCCCTTGAGTCTATTGACGTTTATGACCACAATGGGTAAATCGTCCTGTGTAGGCAAATTGCTGCTACTAATAACCGCTAACACGCGACCTTGATTCAATGAGCATTGCCCGACTTCCACAAAACGATTTATTCGATCAGACCCTGTAATATATGAAGACTAGCATGTATTACTTGCACTTGTCTTTATTTAAATTAAACTAACCATTTTTAATATTAAATAATTGGGATACTTAATAACGCAAAATATTACTCATATCCCAATTCTAGGTCTACCTTCCATTTGCTCCGAGTTGCATATTAATTAAAAAGTTTAATTCAACTTTGTCGTGGTTAAAAAAGTAATGCTAGAATAAAATAAAACTTTATGATTTCAGTGCCTCATGCCTGCCTGCATACGGCACAGTATCGAAATGAATTTTTGAGAACTAGTTTTTAGAATTATAGTTTAAGAGCGAAATTTTGAGCCTTTGCCCAGCAGTGGGACATTTATAGGCTGTTACTTTGAAGACTAAAGACTTCACCAATGTGTGTTGCCAATGGACATCTGGAACTGAGGCATGGTCCTTCACTGGTGGCCGTATGAGGAAGCTCAAAGTCGCTCAGCGAGCTATTAAGTGGGCTATGATCGTTATTTCTCTGCGTGATAGGGTTCGCAATGATGACATCCACAGTAGAGGAAAGGTAACCGACATAGCTCCGAAGGTTAATAAGCTGAAGTGGTGATGGGCCGGCCATATAGCTGGTAGAACCGATAACCGCTGTGGAAGGAAGATTCTCGAGTGGCAGCCTCGAATTGGCCATCGCAGTGCAGGACGACTCACCACTAGATGGAGTGAAATCGATGGATGCAGGTAGCTCAGGATCGTGCTTCGTGGTAGTCTGTGGGGGAGGCCTATGTCCAGCAGTGGACTCAAACAGACTGAAATGATGATGATGATGACTTTTATACCAAACTCTTAAGCACACAATATTCAAGGTTTTATGGTACAAAAAGCAAAGTGCTTTGAATTTAGAAAATTACCCATTACATTGTAACGTTAACAGAAATAGTCTACATGCATACTTACTATAATAAATTAAATTACCGGCTAAGATTGCAACTCCAGTTAATTTCAACTTGTAAACAGTGCTTTCTGTTTCCGTTCCCATTTTTCTTCCTTTATCTTTAATGAGTGATGCATCTGTGTTTGCTGTTTTGTTTAAATTGACGTCCAACAGCAAAGTATTTTCTCTTATATAGCCTATAATAGCGTCTTGGTGTCGAAGATCTACAATTAGTTTCATATTTTGAGCTTCGTTCGATTTACAGACTTTAATACAAACTAAAAGACTAAGTTACTAAATTAATATTCGTAACTATTAATTGATAGTGAAGAGTAGCGGTAAAATAATCAAAATTGCTTTATACCTGTTACTGGCTGTGGAGTGTCAAAGGCTACGTCTAAATGACCAGGTGGAATTACTTTTGATATATTATTCCAAACAATTTCAATAATATAATGAATGACATCTTCCTCCTTCTGCTCTTCTATTTTTCCGAAATATCGAAGTTCACGAAATTCCAAAGGTGGGATACGTATTACAAAATTTTTATCATTTTTCGCGCTGTAGAAGTATTTTATTAAATTTTAGAATTTTAAAGTGTTTTATAGTGCTAATCTCTGCACTTAAGATTGAACATTAAAACATGTAGAAAAAGTACGAAAAGATTGTCGCCGCTGTGGGAATCGAACCCACGTCTTCGGCATTCGCGGCCTGACGCTCTAGCCACTGAGCTAAACGGCTGATATACAATGCTTGGCGCATCTATTGTTATATCCTTTCCAGCATACAAACAATTTCGAATATCGTTTTACAACGATAATTCGAACGAGATGTCGCCATTGCTTTTTATAAATTTTAAAGTGTTTTAACACAGCGGCGACAATCTTTTCGTACTTTTTCTACATGTTTTAAAATTTTAGAAATTTAATCAACAGTAAATTTTATTCCTTTTAATATAATTTAAAACTTCTTACTTGGCACTGAGACTCGTCATCCCAGTAATTGGTGTTATAAAAACTTGGTAATTGAGAAACTCTTCTATTTTTGCAGGAATTTTATGCCGTATTGTAAAAGCCATCCAAATTGTATTTAAAAATTTCCAAGTCCTTACCCAACAGTATTTATTTGCACACCAAATCTTGAATAAAAAGGAACTGTTTATTTTTTTTTGTGCGAGTTACGAAATTTTATTCTAAAGTAGCGCTATAAATACGGTTCAGTGCGTCTGACGTGGAAAAGATGAATGAATGAATATCGACAAAGATAATTTATAGGCGAAAATACCTGGTGTCCGTTAATATATTTTACGGTGGTAGGGCCACGCAGCAACCTCGGCTGTTGCACGAATGGGCAGGCCCGTCCGGGTAAGTACCACGACCTCGCAGAAGACCAGCGTAAAGTGAAATTATGAAAATAAATACTTTCGCGTTTCATTTGGTGAGTGAGGTAGCCGGAGCCCAATTTTCAAAAGGTTGTAAAGTACGTATCATAGCAGATGCCCATGGGCGGCGGTATTCACTTAATATCGGGTGAACCGTCTGCTCGTTTCGCAACTTTTCACATAAAAAAAATATCCTTGTCGTTAATGTATCAAATCGTCAGAACTTCTACATTTTATAAGGTTAAAAACTGATACAAGACGTAGAATCGAGACAAAGTCACTGGATCTCTTAGCAGATCTTGTGAAGAGCGATTGTATGGGTGCCTTTCACTGGTACTCTGCGGCTTTTTCCTCTGACCCGTTTGATCTGGTAGAAAATGCTATTAGGCATTAAATCCGCCCATTGTAACCATAAGCTTAAGATGTAACAATAAAGGTTAAATAAATAAAAAAATATCTTTATTCAATATAAGCTTAAGTTAAGCTCTTATTGAACGTCAAAAAAAACTACCATTGGTTTATCCGCTGTATGCACGGTGTCAGTATGTTCACAGCAATTATAAGAAATTATCTTTAGTTAGAATCTAATGATTAGGTGGACAATAAAATTAAAACATGTTTTTATTTCCTATTTGGTACATAGAATGTACAACAACCGAATGTGATGCGGCCGTCCTGTGATTATACTTCACCTCTGGCAAGGTTCAATGCTGCTAAAATATGCAAAAGCTGTTTTGGATATTATGGTTTATTATACTTAATACACTGCTGCGCAACATCAATCGGCCCCAAACATACAGACCGAATCGAATGAAATAATGTGATTTTATCAAAATGGTAGATGATACGTACTTTACAAGCATTTGGCCACATTAAAACATCCAAATCGTAAGTATACCCAGGATACAAATTGTACTGAAGTTTCAATCCTTGACTGCATGGTCCTAAATCCATCCATTGATTGTTGTTGCCATTTGACTTATCATTTTCGATCAGTACTTCTACAGCAAATGTAAGTGTAAAGGAACAGCAACTCATATTAATAAGAATTCAGCAATAACAACGATTCAAACCTAAAAAGACCATAAGAATATCATAAGCTTCAATTAATTTTGATACATGTATCGAATTTGCGACCTGTGCAATTGTGCGGGAAGTCGATGGATGCAGTTGGCTCAGGATCGTGCTTCGTGGCAGTTTGTGGAGAAGGCTATGTTCAGCAGTGGACTCAAACCAGCTGAAATGGTGATGATGATGACATGTATATCCTCCTCAATAATAATTTAGGGGCAAATATTAAAGATAGAAATTATGCCTAATTTTATCTATCTCCTTGGCAAATCTATTTAAATAAAATGATAGAGGTCTGTCGTTGCACGCGCATCACGAAAAAGTTATTCGATAGACTTCAATTAATTCATCTAAGTTGTATTTCTTATACTCTTGGCCCATGATTTAACAAATATATTGTGGTATTTCAACTGAATGTAAAGTTACTTAAGTTTAAAAAAATACCGGCCAAGTGAGAGTAGGACTCGCAATTTGCCGGATCTATAAAAACGGTAAAAAAAATGTTTCTCCGCTTAAATATTTTATTTATTTATATATTTTTTAGTATTTGTTGTTATAGCGGCAACAGAAATACGTCATCTGTAAAAATTTCAACTGTCTTACTCTCAGTGTTCAGGAGATACAGCCTGTTGACACACGGACGAATAGACAGAGAGACAGACAGACAGACAGTGAAGTCTTAGTAATAGGGTCCTGTATTACCTTTAGATACAATTCACAAATAATTCATTTTATTATCTGAAATAATTATAAACCTCATATCGTAGTTTTAGGTCAATAAAAGTAGCAAAAAATTCACAACTAGACTGAAATTGATGAATAAAATATCATTCAAGAACACCAAAAAAATATTATTACCCATTAAATATTTCGGTTGGCAATTAAGGCTTCAGTCGAGAAGTTCGTTGTTATCGTTTATGTTCTTAAATCGCATTCGAGTTAATATTGTATTAATTAACTTTATTTAGTAACTTTCATTTATATTATGTAAAATGGCTATGAAAATGAATACAATAAATAAAAGTATTCGTTTGACATAAACATGCATTATACTAAGTGACGTCTTAATAAAGTTCCTGCCAGAATGACATTGGCCACTTTTTAATTTGATGTTTTTTATTCGATATAACAATAATCAACCTCATAATTGACAATTTATCTAAAATTTACAAGATTAAATCTGTATCAAATTACATATTATCTAATAAACCTAATTCACGCGGCATGGTGCCAAGCTGCATTTCCTCGCTGAATAGTTATGCTTAACCTTTAATCGAGAAAAGAATCAGCTCTCTTGTTACCAGCCGCGGCTCTTGTTAAGCCTAGGATATAAGCTTTTAAAAAATTTTGAAGTGTGGGGACCCCACGGACCTATAGTTTCAACAGCAAATGGCACAAATACATAGTCTAAACATAAAGACTCATATTTATGCCATTTACATACTTCAGCTGCTTCCGATGCCGCCCCGGCTAATAATTTGAGATGCATAGACAAAGAACAGAGGGCAGTAAGCCGTCACGAATTCATAAATAGATCTACCGGTGTGCGGACATTCCACCAGAGATTAGATCTCTCAGAGTTGAACTTTCCTAATAACTGTCGGTAAATGTTTGTAAAACGTTCTCATTAAGCATACACGTTTCGTTTGTCACAGTTATAATATGTAGCAGCGCTTGTGTCGCATAATTATGCAGTAATCCCCGAGCTAATTTTTTCCTTTTACCATTTTTACCATAGTCGAATAGTACACAGGGAGCATAAAGTTTTAGCAAGTCTCTTTTATGATGAAATTATATACACAAACCTATGTGTGCTCAAGAAAAACTTAAATATTTATTAAAAGCTCTTTGTCTGTAGTCATGTTCTACATTTACTTCAGCTGCTACCTACTGCAGGCATCAGGGATCCACAACTAAGCATGTTTTAAATCTTTTTAAAAAATTGTTTATAGTTAAATTTAAATATTTTAGTTGGTATTAAATAAACCATTTATTTATTTATTTATTTATGGTTTAAATTCTTATACTACTTGACATACAATTTATTAAATTTTTCTACAGTCAAGGTGTTTATTGTAGGCATTGTATTAACAGCCCAAAATAAATCTAAACAGATTCTCAGTTTATTTCATTTTAAATTATAGTTCACGAGACTAACGAACAGCAATCCATTTTTAACCGTCTTCAAAAAAGGAGGAGGTTTCTTAAAAAATAAAAATATATACGGTCGAACGTATATATATATATTTTTTTTTATGTGTGTTCGTGGATAACTTCATCCAACTACATGATATAAATCTGGATTCAGTGTATGAGTCTAAAAGAAGTACTGCAGTCTTGAACTCTCAGCCATGACTTTGCTAGCACAGAATCTGGTAGACTTTGGTTATGCCTTGATGTATATTCATAATTCCACTTCATCTTATATTTTACCTAGAGACGATAAATGGCCTATTAACTCCGCGTGTCACACAAAGAATAACAGATCTTCTGCACTCTCCTTGCACATATCTAGAACATTCTCTGTGATTCCCCTTGGAGTGGCCGGTTTTAAACCACATGTCAGCCTAACGTGGTTTCGCCACGACTATTTTACAAGCTTATCCATACTAATATTATAAATGCGAAAGTAACTGTCTGCTTGTCTCGATTTCACGCCAAAACTACTGAACCGATTTAAATGAAATTTGGTATACAGATAGTCTAGAGTCTGAGAAAGGACATAGGCATATTTTTTAATTGGAAAAAGGGTTATAAAGGGTTCTTAAAGGGGATAGGTATTTATTTAAGGCCTTCAACGCGAGTGAAGCCGCGGGCGAAAAGCTAGTCATTCATTAAGCGATTGTGTAACATTTTTCTGAATTAATATTTTTTTTGACGGTCGCCTAACCGCTTTCTTTAGTATTACATTTTTCAGGCGAACACAGTTACAGGTTTCTGCATTAATGTGGACGTTTAAGAAAGACTTGGTGAATATGGCACAGCACAGCTTTTATAAAAATTTGGTCGACCCAACTGCAAGTCTGTATTGTATGACTTCATTAGTTTCATTGTGCACTAGGTGGAATTTTCCTTTTTTTCGTGCAAGGTGATGTTAGATTGGCTTCTCCATTGGGACTATGAACCACGTCTCTGACTACGGTCTCGGGCAAATGCTTATCATGTGAGGAGGGGCACGGCTAGCTCAGTCAGCGGCATTACGTCTCAGGACAAGGATCATGGTTATTCCACGATTTGATTTGTTAATATTACCGGAATGAGAAAGTGGAGATACTTGTTGATGAAGTCATCAGTTATCAAGAAGTACAGAACTACAGAGAAAGGGTAACTACCCTTTCTCTGTAGTTCCACTTATTAAATTATTATATTTATTTAGTCTTCTTCAATTTCTAATGAAACACAATATCCGTTTATTTCTAGTTAAAATACTAATAGTTCGTTTAAGTCATCGAAGGCTAGCAGCTGACAGGTCATCGTTGAAATTATATTTGAGAAGGGACTTACAAATAAGAATTTTGATATCGAAAATTGCCCGTCAGTAT